ATTTCCGCATAATTCTTTAACTCTTCATAGTACTTGGCTTTCTCAGTTTTGGGACGAAAATTTCGTTGAAATGGTTGAAGCTCCGGTTGTTGAATGATTTGTTGAGGTGGTTGAAATGTAGGATATTGTATGATTTGCTGAGGTGGTTGGAATGTAGGCTGTTGAACGATCTGCTGAGGTGGTTGAAATGTCGTTCCATTCATATTATTCGCACTTCCATAGTTAAATAAAGAAGGTCTACGCTCCAACCACATATTCTTGAGATTAGTAAAGAATGCATCAATGTCTGCGGGTTGCACAACTTTAGATACTCCTGGTCGAATCCTATTCTCATATGTTTCCGGGTTATCAGTAGGTTGAATAATTTGAATTCCAATCTCTGAATTGCAACTTGTTGAGTTCCAACCATTAATTGCTGATATTGATATAGGGATGGAAAAGTCCGCAGGTCCGGACCTAAAGACCAGGTCTTTATGTGGTGTTTGATGGCTATTGATTATCAAATATATGTCACATCATATAAGCAAATTATTATTTGCGGATTTTTTAGTGGTTGAATTTTTCAAAATGTTACACTAGAATTTATAATATTCGAAATATTTAATATTGAAACTATTACTATTACTATTCATTTGAAATATTTAAGACTATTTGAAATACCATATATAGAGCCATTAATATTAAATAATGCATAACACCTTTCAACTAATAATTGTATCTCTCATTTATTACATGTACTTGGTATTCAACCAAATGAGAAGGAAAAGGTAAAATATTTTGTAATGTATAATAAATAAAATCAAATTAATCAATTTTCATCAATTAAATATTTATTATCTATAATAACTACAGTATATTTAGTTATCAAAACATTTATGATTATTTATGATTCAAAACATTTATGACTATTCAAAATTCCAAAAATTATCTGATGTATTTGAATATTCATAATTCTTTTTGGATATTTGAATATTAAAAAGGGGATTAATGAACAGGAACACATGTGTTGGATGGAATATATGGTAAAGATAAAATATTTTTTCGAAAAAAATGAATTATAAAAAGAAAAAATTTTATTAATTTTATCAATTACTTTTATTTTTGGTATTAAGAACTCTTCTGCCAATCTTATTGCTTCTTCTTCACCAATGACTGGATCAATAGACAAAGAAGCTTTCTCTCTTCTTTTTGCTCGGGTCACTGCCAATTTTTCTGCAGTAATTACATGGTTAAATGAAGTGGGACCTGTAAGTTGAAGATGTTGTTGATGAACTATTATTGGTCAGATACGATGTCTAACAAAATCATATATCAATGGAAATTCTTTTAACTGGATATAATTAACTTTTGAAAATGCAATGAACTGTTCTCTAAAGTTATTTTTTTCCAATGCTTCAAATAACCCAAATGTATTGTTTTGATCTTTTAAATTCTCATTTAATCTTTCTATATATTGTTTTACTATTATAGGTTGTTCATCAGGAAGAGGGTGAGAAAGTATTACATGAAGAACAGCTTGTGCAAATTTAGGGCCATGCTCTCCTCCAAGACTACATATGCAAAGTGGAAATTTAGTCCAGGTAATCATCCATTTTTTGAAGACATTCAAAGTTTTTTCAATACCTATTTTCATTCTTTGAGCCAGATCCAGAAATTCCTGTTCATTCAAATGATCACAAGCTGCCAATAATTCATCCATGAAGACTTCTTCAGGTGCCTGCACAACATTCTCTAATTCACTAATCCAAGTTTGAACCATGTCAGGCATTTGATGTGCACAATACCCATTTGGTAGAGGGTGACTAGAGTTAGTATCAGAGCCAATTAAAAAATATATTATTTTTTCATAGAACCACTCTCCAAATTTTACCATTATTAAAATTTCTGTATTTAAATTTTCATTTTGTAGGAATTCCAAAAATGTTTTCCATTTATGTAAATATCCCTCAGGCACATTCCTTGAACCTTCTAATTTTTCTATGAACCAATTAGTGAATGTAAGGTGAAGCTCACAACGTTCCAAGTATTGCTTTGCTGTAGTTAACTGGTATAACCAACGGCTTGTAATTGGCTTTTGTTATTTTTTGAGGTCTAAATTCAGTAATGCTTTATACATTTTACTAATAGTTTCATTTTTCATGTTTAATGGGTTATCTTTATTAGATTCATTGTAACCATTATGAAGGTGATATGCAAAGTTTATAACATTGAATGGATGTGGGTTCAAGGAAAGACCTGAGGGGGAACTGACCTTCCCAAAAACAGCATTGTCAAATGTTGTTGCTGCAATATGAACAACATGTAGGCCACATGGAATCCTAATTGCATTTATTTCACATCTTTGATTGAAATTTACAACAACACCACCCTTGGACCCTACATATAACTAGTATTATCAGTAAGCCAATATAGACAATGTTTTGGATCCAAGATAAATGATCTAATTGCTTCAAGTACAGATGTAGATACAGTAACTGAATTGCACCGATCCAGATCCTTCATGCTGAGAATTGTAAGTGTAGGTTTCTCTTTTACTACATTCCAATGTGATACACATACTAAAAATATTTTTTTATCACCTCTTGTACTTTCATCTGCCATGATCCCATATGATGAGAATTGAGAAGTGGTCCCTGGAAGATTTTCTGAAACTGTTATTCTTGCCACATCTTGATTCCATTTAGATAAAGTACTTGTTGAGATTCAAGTATCAGGGGAATCAACCAGGAAAGTAAAGAATTCCCTTGTGCATTGTACTGTTGATGACAATGATGATTGACCTATATTGCTCATTTGGGTCACTAGAGCAATGAACTCAAGTGTATAGGTATGTTTATTCTCTTTGACCATCTTTTTAATACCTTTTTGGATTTCTTTTTTAGATATGTATTTTTTTTTTGAGATCATTGATCTTATTCATGAGATATAATGATCTTTATTTTAATTGCTAAAAATTTATGTTTGGAGACAATAGATTCATTTTTCTTTGTTAATATATTATTTTCTTTCTCTATGGATTTTATTTTATTTTCAATCTCTTGGGAACTAGATTCCAGCTTTCCAATAGTTGATAGAAGTAAATCCATTGCTTTTTTTTGTAGATATGGTGAAATAATTTCACCCTTATGATTTCCATTTGGATAAACCATTATTTCAAGCAATTTGGAACACGAAAAAATTTGCTTCTCAGGTAAAATATTGATTTTATTCATTAATTCCTGTTTAGCTTTTACAGCTTTATTACTAAATGTTGAGGAAATATTAAGGTCAATTGGTGGTTCTATCAGTGTTTGATTTTGTATTACTGGGTGAGCTTTTAGAAGTTGTTTGCTTCTTTTGGTTAATGGTGCCATTTTATTAGATCAAATTTTTACTAACATAAACAATTCCTAAAATGAGATTTTCAAAAGCTAATGTAATTTGGTATAATAATAAGATAACAAGATAATAAATTGAAAGCTTTTTGACAACGTTATGAACGTTTTTGAATTTACGTTTTGGTCTGATTTATCCTTAAAAGGAAAAGATTTACAAAAACTGTAGCGGAAATTTTACGGTAATATATCCGAACAACTTTAAACCATGATAACTTTTTTTTTTCATAATGAAATTAAAAAAATTTTTTTATAGTTTTATTGTTTAAGTCTTTTATAATAAAGTTACAGAAAGCTTTTTTCTCTAACCCATTTGGTTACAAATTTTATCTATTAGCGAACTTTTTTCAATGTCTTTACTATATATAAAAAATTTTTTTTTTATTTGGCAAGAAAAAAAACTCTCTGTAACTTTAAAGCTTGATCTATTTATTATAACTTCGCTTAATTTCATGTCTGTATCTCTTTATTTGAAGGCCTTGATACAATTTTTATTTTATATAGTTTTTATATATACTCGTATTTTTTTAAAAAAAAGTTTGTTATTGATCGGCATTATGTTACATCACCTAATTTTGATTTAATTAGGGCATCTCACACCCCAATAAATGCTGTTGTATGTGAGCACAAATAAGAGATTTCGTAACACGTGGACTTTTTTTTTGCAGGATGATGATATAGTTTACGTACTAGCACAGAATAATAATAGTAATATTGACATACATGTATTTGGATAATTTGAATGGGTTCTTTTTCAAATATACGAGAGAGTCTTCAAAGCCCAAACTATCTGTTCCATTTTTTTTTAATTGGCAAATGATGCAATGGTGTGACACCTGCATAAAACTTGTTTATTTGAATTCTTGTAATGGTAAATCTTTATTTTGTTTTTTGTTTATTATTTAATTTTTAATATATTTTGTACGAGATATACAATTAATTAATAATTTTATTGAAAAAAAAATTTACAAATAAAACAATCATGTTTTTGTATAAATACAAGCCAAATCATCGTTAATCCTCCTCTCAAAAAAATTTTTATTTTTATTTTTTTTATTCTTTGGGAACCATTAAAACTGTGAAACCACCATATTATATGTAATGAATTTATTTTCGATACAAAGTAGAAAAGATAAAGTCACATGGGTTTTCCTTTCCATATTAATAATATGGTATGTTATGAATGTCATATCCATTATCTCTGGTATATTAAATTTAAATTACGATGATGACAATAAAAGCAAATGTAAATCGACAAAATCAAACTGTGTAAAAGTAAGTTTTTGCATTTATATTTAATTGTTTATCGCTAAATAATAATAATAATTTTTTACTTTATTTTAGAACCCGGGTCAAGAAACAGTCCTTACATATTTGAAGAATTCGATACAATTAAAAAAACCGAACGATTATCATGATGGATTATACAATAAAACAAATTTCTGTCATATGCACAATAATTGTAAATTCTTATTGCCTTATTATCCACCTTTAGATGAATCAGGGAACAATAAATTTTTCTCAGCTTATATAAAATTGGCTGGATTACTTAATCGCACCTTGGTTTTACCTAATGTCGGAAGAACAAGAATCTCATTATGTCAAAAATTACCATTTGATTTTTATTATGACATCGAACAACTTCAACTTAACTATCCAGATGTAAAGTTCATAACACAACATGATTTTCAACAATGGACAAATACCAAACACGGTAAAGGTAATGCGAATAACAAAAAAGAATATATCGAATATGACAAACCGTCAACTTCTCACTTTCACATAACAAATGGTGCCGACAAAACCTCGATAATAAATTTAAAACCATATCATGAGACTCTTAATAAAGATTGGTGTCTAAGTAATTTCCGATTAAATTTAAATTCGACAACTTCGTTCAAACAAATCAGAGCTGGTTGGAAAACGTGGGAATCGGAAGAAAGTCACAATTCATTTCAACAATATTTGATTGATAGTCTTTCACAAGAAAATTCTTCCAACGTTTTAATAATTAGACATGACACTAGGGAGCAATTGCTACCAGGAGATTTCAAAAAATTACAATATTCAAAACATATCCTAATCTCTGCATCAACAATAATCAAATCTATAACACCTTATATCGCTGTACATTGGCATATGGATCATCTTCATGAAGCGGTTCTTCTACAATGTACCATGAAAATGCTACACAGAATTCAAAGAGCCGTGAGTAAAACTGGATATGAAAACATTTATTTGGCGACTAACTATCCATTTTATGGTAATGGCAGTTATACCAGTTATTCATCGACGTGGAAAAACGTTTCCGAAATACATCATACGGCAGCAAATTTAATCAAATCTTCGGTACCAATTATAAATTGGAAATATTTGAACGTGTTAAAATATTTGGAGGATATACTTGGAATCGAAGGTTTAGTCGAGAGTGGAGTAACTGAGATAATAGATAAATTGGTTTCTATAAATGCTGGTTGGTACATTGGACTACCAAGAAGATTATGTGCGCTTCCACTGGACACAAGAATCACACAAGTTGTAGCTGAAGAAAGACGCACGTTATTCATTAACCAAGAAATAATAGATGAAGATGAATTAACTGCAAAATTTAAAAATGACGTGGATCGTTATTGAATTTCATTTTTATTAGAATGTTAAAAAAATCACGAGCGCAAAAGACATTTTGCTTTGTTTTAGTAGCTACTATTATGGCTTACTGTATATGTAATTATTTAATTCTTATTTATTAGGTGTAAAATATTCTTTAGAAACAAACTAAGCTTTCAAGTTTTTTTTTATTTGTACATCAATTTATAAATAAAAGAAATTCTTATTTTAAATTCCGTGTAACCTTAATTTTCTATGAAACGAATGATATTATATAGGAGAATCATAATATCAAAATAATATATAATAACCTATTTTACTTTCTATATAGTTGCGAAAATCTTTACCCCATATATAAAACAAGAAATTTATAATTTTATTTATCGATAATAGGAAAAGGTATTGATTGAAAAAGATGGGAAATGCCAGTATGTTAAAGAGTGGTTGGTGTATGACCTTTACGATATTTCTTCAAGGACAATAACAATATAGCAATAAAATAAGTTTATTAAAAATATAATTAGTAAATGTTAAAAATTTCTTGTCAATGAAACTTTCTAAAAATAGTAATCATTCACACAGTATCAATTTACTTTTAATATCCAATATCAAGTAACCATTTTGATTATTATCTTGATTTTATTAATCCGTAAATAGAAAGTTATAATAATGTCTTTTTAAAGGCTGGATATAGAACGCATATAGAGTACCGTACATAAAAAATTTCATATTCTCAACATCCCCCCAGTATAGTACTATATACATATTACTAATACAGAGGCCTTCAGTTTATTATATACCTACTAAATTGAACATTACACAAACGTAATAATAACAAATATTGAATCTTTTAAACCTGTATGAAAACATGATTCATAATAAACTCAAACTTTATTCTTAAAGTGACAATGCATAATCCAAGATTCCTAACGACATACGGAAAGAAAGAATTGTAAATACGCATTTATAATCGGGCACTGCCTTTTTTAAATATGTCTTATATTGTGATTAAAATGACAAAATTTCTACAATTAGAAAATTAAAAAAAAAAAAGTAAATGAAGATATGACAAACATATAGCGTGTTTAACTTATGATCCATTAACTCGATGGTGGCGATGAAACAATAGGATATAGTAATTTGATTATCTTCAATAAATTCTGTGCGAAAAAATACTGTAGCAAATAATTCACCATTCTTTTTTTAAAAAAGATGGCAACCTTCGAATGATTTAAATTTTTAGTACAATTGTGATGTTGAGCAATTTCATCATTGAGCCTCTAAAATTAATTTAAACGGAAAGATAAAACATCACATTAATAATGGTTTAGAGAAAATTCACCAGCAAAACATTATCACTATTCATTGTGGAAAAATGAAATACTCTTTCATTCTGTAATTTAGGCTTTGCAATAGAGGTATGTGGAGGAATAAGACAGCACCTCAAAATTTTATAAATTATCAATACTTTTATAGAACTTTCCTGTGTAAAACATCTTTCCGCTTTTTTTTTTATGCTAATACAGAAAATATGTATTTAGTAGATCTCAAGATTAAATCTTGTAGTTGCATATTAATATCATTGTCAATGTTTCACAGTTTTTTTAGCCACAATCAATATTTTTAATTTTTAATTTTTAATTTTTAATTTTTTAAAGTAATTATCATCGTATATGCACAAAGAAACGACATTAATTTATTCTAGATTAAATGTGCACTAAAAGTGATTTAATTTGCGTTGGGTACGTTGAAGTGATATTAATGGTGGATCCATTTTGCAGTTTCATTTATTTTTGATGTGCGACCTCCAATTTGGAGGTTGAAGATAATTTTGAATTTGTCGTAAAGATGGTTAGGACAATTGAATCTCCCTAATTGGATTATTGTGTTTGTTGGATTGATTAAGCATGCAATCTTTTTTCTTTAGCTGCTCGATCCATTAATCCTATTAAATATGATTATTTGATCGAGCAGCTATAGAGTTTGGATCCGGTTATCTGTTTTCAAACCGGTTTACGGATTCAAACCGGATCCAAACTCTACTACATATTTCTATAATAACAAATTGAATTATTTGAACAATTATATCATAGGATATTTTTAACTATGTTTCCTAAATGAGCTCGAGAAAATAAATCATTTTCATTCAAAAACAATTATCTTAGGTTGTATATGTATAATAATAATAGTAATGATATGTTGCTTAAAATGGAAAAACAACAACAGAATAAGTTTTCTAGAGAAGAACCGAATTGAATACAACATAGTAATAGAAGTAGTTACTTTTGATTGTGTTGCTTCTATATTTCTCAATTCGAAAAAATAAAACATTTTAAATTGTATAATAGTAATATTGTTGCTCATCTTTAACAAAATAAGTTGTTTGGAGAAGAGGGAATTGAATGCAAGCAATAGTTATTTTTGATTGTGTTGCTTCCATATGTCTCAAAACAAATTGTTTGTGTAATAATAATAATGGATCAATTTGAAAAAAAAAACAACAAAAAAAAACAAAATAAGTTGTTTGGAGAAGAGGCAAATTGAATGCAACATAATAATAGCAATAGTTATTTTTAATTGTGACACTTCCATATGTCTCATTTGAAAAAATAAATCCTTTTAAATTGTTTATATAATAATAATAATAATAATAATGACGCGTTGCTTTAAAATGATAAAAAAAACAAAATAAGTTGTTTGGAGAAGAGGAAATTGAATTTGGAAAAAAGGCAAGTTGTAAAAATAATCATGGCGCAAACAAATTTACTGAAACAAACTGCACATTATATAAACAAACTCATTGCATTAGTATCGCGAAAAATTTTTTATCACAACAGAAAATCAAATCTTTTAGTTTTTATTAAAATGTAAATAAACTATATTAAATAGTCTTTTTTACTAGACAATAGTGAACGTACTTGTTTGTTAAATAAACTATTGATTCTGTTCTATTTTTTAGAAATCAAATAATGAATAATAATACTCTAGGTCAAATTCTTTAGCTTGATGTTTGAACCATTTTCTTAATGGTTTGAATAATATCTTGGGGTGAATTGACACGCCATCCAGCCAAAGTTTTTTTATTTGCAGAACCAACCATTGTGCAAAAATAACTATCATCTGGTAAATGAGACTTTTTTATTGCTTTAAACATATCTTCGTCTGTTCTGTCATCGCCTGCACAAAATACAAAATCAACATCCGGATGACTTTCCAAAAGATACTTTACAATTTCACCCTGAATTTTTTTTTATAAAGAAAAAATTTATTTATAATTATTTACTAATCATTGTAGGTTAAAAAAAAGAGAAATAGTTATATAATATATATATACCTTGTTTGTGATTGTAGGTCTAACCTCTAGATTTTTTTTACCTGATAGTATCTCAATTGGTAATTTGGGAATGATTGCACTTTCAAGATGATTTTGACATTCTTTAGCTTGGAATGCTCTATACATATTTTTTAATTGTTAATATTATATTATATTATATTATATTATATAGATGGATGATTAATTAATTACCCATATTCAGGATCTGCTTGACGATAATGCCAAGTAATCGAAGAATTTTTATGTTCTACAAATGATCCTTGAGTGCGTTCTTTATAATATGTGAATATTTCAAGTACATCATCTTTCCAACTCATATCAATATCTTTCATAAGGTTAATCCATTCATCACTTTCGGGACTTTTTATAAAACCACCATGTTCAGCACTTTATCAAGACAAAAAAAATTTTTTCTGTGTGAATTAATAATAGTAAATATTTTTTTGCAAAAATTATTAGGCAAACAAATCACTCTTACCTAAATCCAAGTTTTTTAATGCCACCAAGCCATTTATCTAATGCATAAGTATCACGTCCTGAAATTATCCAAACTTTATTTTTAGGATCATCTGCAAGTTCCTTTAATCCTTTTAAGGTATCAGCCTTTGGGATTGCAGCACTTGGAGTCAGAACAATAGGAGTTAAAGTACCCTAATAATAAATTTTTTTTTAAAAAATTTACAACAACAATAATAATAATAATAATAATAATAATAATAATAATAATAATAATATTAATAATATTAATAATATTAATAATAATAATAATATTAATATTAATATTAATATTATTAATAATAAAGCTATTGCTTTAAAAAAAAGTTTACATCATAGTCAAATAATAATAATCTATTTTTAGCGAGTTTGTATTTATCTAGTAAACTATTTGTATTGAGAAATGGAACAATGCTTGATTGTTCTTGATTTATTATTGATTTTTTAAGCTCTTCAACAAACGAATTTGCCCAAAATTGAGCAGTATGAGTAGTAACATGTTTATATAGTTGCTATTTAGGAAAATAATAATAATTTAGTATAATAATAATAATAACAACAACACAACAACGATAACAATAAAAATAAAATTACCATATGTCTTTCTTTTTTCCCTTCAGGTGATAAGTTTAATGCATCGTTGATTGCATTTGCTACACCAGTGTAATCCCAAGGGTTAACCATAATCAAATCATCAAGTGAACCTGCCATTCCAGTGAATTCACTTAATATCAAAGATCCATGATTTTCTTGTTGGCACACTATATACTCCAATGAAGTAGTGTTCATTCCATCACGAATTGATGTTATAAGACCAATATCTGCTATACTTAAAAGCGCATAATATTCATCCTGAGCAATATTGTTATGATAGTGATGTACAGGTGTGAATTCTAATGAGCCATATTTGCCATTTATATGAGCAATAAGTTCTGAAACCTTGCGCTCTAATTTTGGTGAATCACTAAGTGCGGGTGTAGTGACTTGAATTAAAACTACCTTTATGTATGGGAATTAAAAAAAAAGATTGTATTAAAACAAAATCAACGATTTAAAATGCATAAAGATGTATGTATAAATTGTAATTACAGACTTTATTATGCCATATTGGATACAATGATAAAAAATTTTCAAAAGCAACTAGTTTTTGAATGACGCCTTTGGCTTGGTTTAACTTATCTCTACCAACAATTATCTTCTTATCAGCATACATTTCTTGGATCACTTCCATTTTTGTCACAACTTCAGGGAGTTTTCTTTTTAGAATTTAAGCAAAAAAAAAAAAATTAATTAATAATTACATAATTATAGTTTTACATTTGTTATTAATATTCTTATAATCAATGCTAACTAACTACCTTTGTTCTTCAACTTTCTCAGCATCAATCCCAATTGGAAATGTTCCTATAGTTACTATTGAATCTCTTGCATCAATAGTGCCTGCTATATGCTTATCTTTGCTGGTTTCACCATTTTGCGTAGATTCATATCCTAAAACACGAGTACAACTACTTATAAAATGTTTTGAATATGAATATGTCTGTATAATAATATAAAGAATATTAATATATATATCTAATCAATTATTATTAAATTTAGATGATAAAATAATTGACAAGCAACCTGAAATCCTATTTGATTGGCACCTAACATTCCATTCAATATTTCATTCCTTTCTAATTTTTAATCAATCAATCAATGTTCATTATATCTATATGATTAATTTTATTCTTGTGGCCAAATATCATCATATGGTAATAAATATATATATATTTTACAAACTTGATAAACATCGAAAAATTTCAGAACTAGGAAATGGCGTATGAACAAAAAGTCCAACTGTTACTTCAGGAAGCTTTTCACGTAACATTTGAGGAACCAGCAAAAGGTGATAATCATGAACCCATACTATGAATATAAATATATAATATATTTATCCATACTGTCCATTAAATTTTTGAAAATTTACATACAACATTACCAACCTAAATCACCAGGTCTATATATTTCCACAATTTTGTCAGTAAATCGTTGATTAACCTTTACATAATTCATCCAATTTAATGCTTCTATTCTACCATCAGTGGCAGTGTCCCATAAAATATAGTGAAATAACGGCCATAATACTGTGTGACATGTAAATATTGTTGCGGTTCACATGATCAATAACAATTTTTTTAATAATAGATTGATTGATTAAAAATTGAAAAAAAACATACCAATTTTACAATAACCTTCATAATGTCCATGATGTTCTGCATCATCAAGAAAAACAGGTACAATTTTTTTTTCGGCCAAGGTCTTTACCAAACTTGCTTTTAATTTGTCTGTTTGTCCACTTGGTTCGATACTTTTTTCGGGATTTTCATAAACAGGACCAATAAAACCAACATGATAATTCTCCCATTCCGAATCTAAAGAACTGACACCAGAATAAAGAGCAGAATAATCGTCTCGTGGCTTTAAATCCCATTGATATTTATCATCCTTTACATCGGATAGTAATATTGGGTCATAAGGTATCATGTGAGTTGTATTAATGATACGACCACGTTTCGTTGTATTATCGTTAATTTGTTTTCTAACCATGATTAATTAATTAATTAAAAGTTAAAAAATTTTTTTTTAAAAAGAAATGTTTTGTTGAACTAATTTGGAAAAAAATCCCTTTATTTTATATAATTTTTTTCGTTTTCAAATGCAACGAATCTATTATTATTGAAAAGTCATTGTATCTAATCTCATAGATCATCGATATGGTGATGTAATAATTATTTTTTATTATTTTTTTTATTGGCGTTTAGATCATAAGATAAAAAGATTAAAAATTCTTTATTATTATATAAATAAATAAAATTGGTGTAACATAATTATTTAAAAAATTGCATGATTTAAAGAACAATTTCCAACATCAAAAGAAAATCAAACTCTTCGTTGCGATTCCAGTGATTCAACAAATAAAAGGATTTTGTTAAAACTTACAAAAACCTACACCACTAGTGCTACGTAAAAGTCGTTATACGTACCAATATTAGCCAACTTATATGCGCATTTTTTTATTATTATTAATACCGTTCGTTGTATATTACTATCACACACAGTGTTAACTTCAAAGTCAAAAATCGAAAAAAATCAAATTATCACAATTCGTGTGTATGCAAAAGTTGCTCTACATACCGATATACGGAAAAAATTACATTTTTTCGACGGTTGATATGATATAATAACAACAATACTGTTGCCATTACCATACTACTCTACATAGTAATAATAATAGGTAAACTTGATAAGTCGACCATGAATGATGACCAACTTCTTGAGAACACATGACTTAAAAAATTTTGCGTCAATTTTATTTATGATAGAGGTTGGAAAAATCGTCCAAAAAATTCTTTAGTTGACTATTTAGTTGACTATTTAGTCGACTATTAGTTGATTATTTTAGTTGACTATTTAGTTAACTATTAATTGATTATTTTAGTTGACTATTTTAGTCGATTATTTAGTATTATGCATTATTGTATTGCCCAGAAATCTGATATTAATAAATTAAATAATTTTCCTTTGTCATGTAACAAAAAAAATAATTGTTTTTTGTAAGGATGTAAATTAAACTAATACTGGAACTGATTATAAATCAAATTACCTTTTTGATTTCAATTACTAATACAATCACAGCTTTTTTATAGATGTTGTTCATTTTTTTATTTACAATGAAATCAGCTGTGCAATGGATAAAAAGAGTGTCTATGTATTGATTTTCTGCTGCGAACATCACTGATATCATGGTTTCTTGAAAGATTGGTACCAACAAATTATTTTCTAATATAATCAGTACAGGATTGGCAAATTGACTGGTCCATTGAGAACTAATTGACTTTGGACTGATCCATTGATTAATAAAATACTAAATATGGTTAAAATGTTACATAACTGGACCCGATGGATCACCAATTTGCCAACCCTGAATCACTATATAGTTTCAAGTGTCATTAATCTGTGCGATCACCACTCCACAAAAATTTTTTAGGAGCAGGACCAATTATTGAAATTCATTGAATGTTATATCTTCCACAGTTGTTGCAATGCTATATGGGGCATGCTGCAACAAAACCAGACAAAGTGAACATTAGTATTACCAAGGATTTCAGGGATCAAAATTTAGTTATCTTTAATGCAATTATAATTAACAGTTTTATAATATCCCATTTGTGATATATAGAACTATCCCTATATAAAAATAATTAATATGAAACTCATTTATATCAGATCTACCATGGAACCAAACAATTAGAAGTGTTTTGAAGAAAGAACAAGGAGAAAAGATTGCACCTTATGTTTTCAAAATAAATGATACTCAGACACTTGTAACTTATCTAAGAGAAGAAAGGATCACTTATGAAATTTACCAAGAAGAAAGAAAAATAATAAAAAAGAAATTCAGTAGAAAATAATTTGCTGTCTAATTTTAGAATAATATAATGAATATATTATCTTTTAAATATTAAAGAAGTTAAAAGAAATAGATTTGATAAAAAGAATTAGCATATGTTGGTCTGGATTCCTTGGGTTTTACTTCAATTATTTGCTCTTGTTTCTTTTTTAAGTGAATTTTCTCATTTATCTTTTTTGTAAAATGCAATAGTTTATTCTTTTCCTTGGTAATTCTAGTAAAGATTTGTTGGCTAAATATAATTCTTGTTTTAGTTGCTGAATTTCTTGGGCTTGTTGGTTTATTTCTTGCTCAATTCATTTTCCTTACCTTGTAAGAAGTGCTTTCTTTTAAGTCTTTTTCAACTTGATGTATTTGATTGATAAATCTTTCTTCTCAATCTTCTATTCTTACTAAATTATTTAACTCTTGTTGTTCTAATTTTATATTGTCAATTACTTCTTTTACTTTTTTACTTTTTTACTTTTTAATTATTGGTTTTGGACAAATAATATCTTTAAATTCATCCCTTACAAATGGACGAATATTATTATAAAGGTATTCTTGTCTTTTGTAGTGTGAGATAGTAAATCTTGGACCTATCAATTACCCGGTTAATATTGACCAATTAGAACGAATTTACTACG